TCTTTCCTCAGGTAGAAAGGCCAACTTCACTTACAAAGGGGCCATCTAGAGACTCAACACCAGAACTCTTTGGCACTGTAGGAGATTTCTTGTGGCATAAGAACAAAATAAATGTTTCCATTTCTTCCTTTGTTTCTCAGTTGCAAATAATCCAAAAACTTTTTGGCTAATATATGTTGAAAGTTAAAGAGTGCTTACATGTCTAAGAGGGAAGCTTATGTTCCATTTGTGGCAGGGAGGAACATGTGCCATCTAGAATTCTTCACCTTTAACTCTTCTCTATAATAATATAGAAACAAATTTATAGTGCATTCTATATTGCTTGGGGAAATAATATTTGACTTTTTCTCTATTTTGTAGATACTTTATTTCCAAGTGCTAACCTGGTGGTAAAATGAAAGATGGTGTTAAAAATTAAACTTGCGGCCGGCCGAGTGGCGCAATGGTTAAGAACTGGCTTGGGATGCCAGAGGGCCCCGGTTCGGATCCCACATATGAGGGCCAGTGACACTGCCCTCCACAGCTAAGATGCTGAACAACAGCTCAACCTGGAGCTGGGCTGCCATGAGTCGCCGGCAACGGCTTAGGCTGCAGCCCCTGTGGCTGTGGGTTGCCATGGGCTACCGTGTGTAGCCAGCAGCCAGTGTGAGCAGCCAGCAGCCGCAGTGAGCGGCCGTCCAGAAGCCGGCGACCGATCTGCCTTGCCCGGAAGAGCACAATGATGGTGCCAACTTGGGCCAGTGAAGCAACGTCCTCCACAACTAGACTGAAGAACAAAAGGAGAGCAACTTGTCTGTTCCCCTTCCCCCAACTCCCCAGCACTGTTCCCATCCCCCCAATTCCCCAATAAAAAATCTTTAAAAAAAATTAAACTTGTTTGGCCTGTACATAATTATCTGTGTAAACAGGGCTCTAGAAATCCTGTCTTGGTTATCATACAATTTCTGTGAAGAGCAAGGGCTTTTTATAATGTTATCAAGAGTATGGAGAATTATATTTATACAGGTGTATAGTTTCTTTTTTTAAAGATTTTATTGGGGAATCGGGGGAAGGGGAACAGACAAGTTGCTGTCCTTTTGTTCTTCAGTCTAGTTGCGGAGGACGTTGCTTTACTGGCCCATGTTGGTATTATCATTGCGCTCTTCCTGGGTGAGGCAGATCAGTCGCTGGCCACTTGACGGCTGCTCACAGCGGCTCTTGGCAGCTCACATCGGCTGCCAGACACTCACGCTGGCTGCCAGCCACACAGGGTAGCTTATGGCAGCCCACTGCAGCAGGGGCTGCAGCCTACGCCATCGCCAGCGACTCACCGGCAGTCCAGCTCCAGGTCGAGCTGTTGTTCAGCATCTTAGCTGTGGAGGGCGCAGTGTCCCTGGCCCCCATGTGGGATCCCAACCGGGGCTCTGCTGCTCAGAGCTGGCGTCCCAAGCCAACTCCTAACCAATGCGCCACTCTGCGGGCCCTACAGGTACATAGTTTCATGGAATATGAATGTGTCAGAGAAAAGTTCATTCCCCATTTAAGATAGTTGGTACTATAGATACAGTGTTTAAAATCTTGCTTGTCCTATTAAGTTCTGCTTTCAAGTTTCGGATTTAGCCCGATTAAGTGAGAAGCATAGTTGTGAAAGGATCTTGACTCTTTCTCTCATTCAGTGAACAGTCATTAACTGTCAGCTCTGGGGAGAGGCTTCTTGATAAATCAGGGGTCTTAACCAAGGCATTATTGACATTTGGGGCGGGCTCATTCTCAGTTGGGGGGAAGTTGTTTTAGGCATTAAGTTTAGCAGCTTCCCTGGGGCCATTAGCATTCCTCTCCCTTTGTGACACTCCAAAATGTCTCCACTTCCCCCCCACCCGGAGGCAAAACCATCACCCCAGTTGAGAGGCATTGATGATAATGAGAGAGAACAAAGGAGAGTTGGAGGTGGGGACAGGAAGGAGGCAAGGGAAGTGGCAGTTAGGATAGGAAATATGCATGGATTTGAGAGACCTTAAGGAGGAAGAATAGGGAAGTCTCTGTGACAGGTAAAATGTGGGGATTGGGGAGAGGGTGGCATCAGTCACAAGTCTGGTTTGGGCAGCTGGAGAGATTGTGGTGCTTTTACTGAATGAAAAAAATAAAGGAAGATGAGCTATGCAAGAGAAAATGAGTCCCGTTTCAGACCTGTAGGGTTTGAGTGGGGGCATATTTCAGGGGTCTGGAGTGTAGAAGCTAAGTCAGGACTGAGAGGTGATTTGGGAGGCAGTCTTACTTAGCAGCTGATGTTAGGCAGAGTTGTCTTCTAGGAGAAGGTCATTCACCTGCTGGAGAAAAGGATGAATAGGATAATTAAATGCCATCTGATTGTTTTGTTGGAGGTTCTCAAACCATCAAGGTTAAGCGGAGAGAAAACTAAAACAAGCAAACCAATCAACCAACAAAACCAAAAAAACAAGTAACAAAAACATTTCAGTGTTGAAAGATACTGAATTCAGAGAGTGATTGAAAGAAGAGAAAAAGAAAGGACATGTAATTCGGACAAACAGGTAAGTAAAAGTGAAAAGAGCAGAATTGCCTATTCATTTAGTGTTTGTTGAGTGGTATTAACCATTACATGATTTTAATTTCAAAGAAGCTGGAAAATTCACATTCTTGCAACCCATTTTCTAGTCTTGCAATACTTTAGTATGGAAAATTTCAAACATACAGAAAAGTTGAAAGAATTTTATAACAACACCCATATTTCCATCACCTAAATTATACAATTAATATTTTACTATAATTGCTTTATTACAGATCTGTCTATAGTATCCACCCATTAAGGCATCTTATTTATTTGATGCATTTTAGAGTAAGATGTAGAGATCAGTACATTTATTCCAACTATATCCACATACACGTATTAGGAACTGGAGTGCAACATTTGTTCAAACTTTTCCAATGTGCTTTTAAAAAATATTATTTCTAAAGGCCATATCCAATTTTCTCTGTTGGAAAGTGGGTACCTTGCATTTTATTTTATGTACAGTTTTTGAGACCTCTTTGGGATGCTAATAATAGTTGAAGACTTTTGCCAAAAAGAATGCCAGATTAGATCCTTGAATATAGAGGCTGGCCACATTTGCATATTTATCTCTTTTGTATCCTGGCACCTAGCATGTGGCTGGGCACAAATTTGGCTCTCTAATTATTTGTTAAGCATGGTTTTGTAATATGATATTCTTTCTTGATTGGAGTTAAGCTTAAGCCATGTCCCAGGAATTTTGTGACTACAAAATACCAAGGGATGCTTTGCAAACCTTTGCAGATGCTTTCTTGATGCCCTGACCAGCCCCTGAAAGAGTAAGCTATGGAGTGTTGTTTGTTACAAAGAATTTGGGATCTAAATTTGTAGGTTCCTGTATTGCCTTTGCTGTTATGTGACCTTGGACAAACCTTTTCGTCTGACCTTCTTCATTCATTAAATTGGGTTGAGGGTTCCTACCTACATTTGATGCTCACACTAATTTCAAATAAGACTTTACATGTAATGGAGCTTTGTCAACTGTGACCTGCTACACAACTGTCATCTATTGTTTCACATTCAAAGGATGTGAAAAAATCAGCAGTGTTCTCTCTCTCCTTAGCTCCCTTTCTTTCTCTCTCTTTGCCTTCCTTTTTCCTCTTCTTTTGTCTCCGGAACTTGTAGAATATATCACAGAAGAAAATAGTTAGGAAATAAATAGTTCAGAACCAAAGATGTTCTGTTAAAAACAAAAAAAAGAGCAAAAATCAAGATTCCTAGTGCCTCAGTATTCAAAGAAGCAGAAAATTCTAATTGCCTCCAGCAAATTGTGCCCCCTGAGGAGCCTAGAGTCCAGAAGAGCAGTCTTGTGAAAGAGCTGAAACAAAGACCTTTCAAGCACTCCGGAATTGCTCAGAGACTGGAATATTACCCTGGCGAAGTTATGAAAGTTGATTTCTCCAAACTATTTACTCAAAAGGGCTACCTGAGGACAACTGGCCACGTGCCTTTACATTATCACTTAAAGAACATAATTAGGAAAAAAAGCTGATAATTATTGCTATGTAATGCTTTTACATCAGACTTACAGGGCACGTTTTTTAAAATTTTGATAAAAATGGTTAATAGGGGAGGTGTAAAATGTTGGTTCACAATATGTAAAGAAACATTTGTTTGGGGCATTTATATCGCCTCACATGTAGTACTTTTTCCTCCTTGGGCTTTCTTTAAGAATACTAACATGTTATTCAGTAATTTCAAAGTGGTTAACAATGAACTTCTAACTTAAATACTTGGAACATTATTGATTAATGTTACTTCACTTTTAATTTATTGCTTGGAGCTTTTTAAAATACCAACGATGTTTAAAAATGCTTTTTAAATATAGGCAACCAAATTTCCCAAGTAATTAACAGTGACAGGATTTACAATGAGGGACATTTTAATATTAATATTGAAGCCACAATGTTAAAAAAACTCAGTTCAGTGAGTTGTTGCAAACATTTAAAATAAAAGCAAGGACAAAGTTTGCCTTCCAGGGTCTGCTTGGGAAAGTGGTTGTTTATACCATAAGCATCTGAATTCATGTGTTTGAGCTAAGGGTGTTTCCTTTTTGTCTTTTTCCTTTTTATAGGCGGCAACAATAGGGACATGTTTAATATTGATGAGTTTGACCTCCTGGGAATTATAGTATATGCACCCTTTTAAAATACAAATTTTGTTTGATTTATATGGTAAATACATAGGATTTGAGATTAGCATTTTAATCAACTCTAATCTCCCAGTATTTTCTGAATCCCCCACCTCGCCATTATGTCAGAAAATAAATAAATAAATGAAAAGGAACTTTTGAAATGATGGCTTGAGTTCTCCCATGGAGACGCAAGGTCTGTATAAAGCATAAAAGCAGCATTATGTGCAGGAACCTCTCCTAAGACGATCAATTATTAAAGAAAAGAACAATCCATTCATTCAACAAATATTTATTGAAGGGCCATGCTTCCGAAGGCAGGTGGGGGCGGTTTAGCACCTCTACACTGAAATTCGGCTTCCGTTTTTCCCCTGCTAAAAACTTTTCCTTTCTGTGGAACTTTTCTCGTGGCAAGTCCCGGAGCCCTGGAGTTGGGAGTGCATCCTCCAGCTCACCAGCTCTTCCGGCGGGTACAATGCATGCAGTTCACACCGCGGAGATGAGAGCCGCGGAGACAGAGAAAACGTTTTCCGCGCTGCTGAGAGCCGAGCGTGGGCCCCGCGGGCTGCGGCGGCGGGCGGGGAGCCAGGCCGGGCAGCGTCCCGCGCAGCCATTGGCTGGCGCCGCGCGCCGCACTGAGCATGTTCGCGCCCCGCGGGTCCCGGGCTGCAGTCGCCGCCGCAGCCACCGCGCATTGTGCAAAGCCGCGGCCGATGAGCGCCGGACCGGCTCGCCTCGCTTCGGCTTCGTTTCCCAGCGGCTCGGCGGCCCGCCTGACTGGCCCGGGAGCCTCCCCCAGCCCGGGCCGGGGCCCCAGCAGGGCCGGGATGGCCTGAGTGCTCGACGCGCGGCGGCGCAGCAGCTGGACTGCAACATGGGGAACCAGGATGCGAAGCTGAAGAGGAGCGCAGGTGATGCTTTCCACGAAGGCGGCGGCGGCGCGGAGGATGCTGGCGGGCCCAGAGATGGAGAGGCCACAAAGAAGGGGAGCGGGGGCAAGAAGGCTTCAGGCAGACACGGCAAGGGGATCGGAGGCGGCGAGCCCGGCAAGAAGAAGAGCAAGTCGGACTCCAGGGCCTCGGTGTTTTCCAACCTTAGGATCAGGAAGAACCTGTCCAAGGGGAAAGGCGCCGGCGGCTCCCGCGAGAATGTGCTGGACTCCCAGGCCCTGCAGACCGGGGAGCTGGACAGCGCTCCGTCGCTGATCACCAAGACTCCGGACCTCAGCCTGTCCGCCGACGAAACGGGCCTGTCGGATACCGAGGGCGCCGACCCTTTTGAGGTGACCCGTCCAGGTGGCCCTGGACCGGCGGAGGCTGGGGTCGGGAGCCAGGCTGTCGCCGAGGATTTGGAAACGGCGGCCGGGGCGCAGGATGGACAAAGGACCAGTTCGGGCTCGGACACAGACATCTACAGCTTCCACTCGGCCACGGAGCAAGAGGATTTGCTTTCAGACATCCAGCAGGCGATACGCCTGCAGCAGCAGCAGCAGCAGGGCTCGGAGGACCTTGCAGTGCCGCACACCGCCGCCTCCCCGCAGCCCGGGGCCTTCCTGGGCCTGGACCAATTCCTGCTGGGGCGGAGCAGCGCGACCGGGGAGGCTCCGGGCAGTCCGGACACAGAGCCGCCGCTGTCTGCGCTCTCCGACCTGCCCGAGAGCCTGACCGCCGAGCCCCCGGTGCCCGAGCAACCACCGCCCCCCAACGGCCGCCGAGCCTCGGAGGCGCCCGGCGCGCGGGTGGCCCAGCTCGCGGCCGCAGACTCGCCCTCGCCCACCGCCTTCCCGTTTCCCGGGGCCGGACTCGGGGAGGGCGCGGCCGAAGCCCCCCCTGGGCCAGGGGCTGGGGAAACAGATGAGGAAGGCGAGGAGGACGCTTTTGAGGATGCACCCCGAGGCTCTCCAGGAGAGGAGTGGGGCCTGGAGGTTGTTGAGGCCTCGCAGAAGCCGTGGGGAGAGCCCGAGGAGGGGGCGCGAGGGCCCGGCTCCCCCGCGGCCGCCTCCCTGCCGGGCAGCCCTGCGCCCAGCCCACGCTGCTTCAAACCCTACCCTCTCATCACGCCTTGCTACATCAAGACCACCACCCGGCAGCTCAGCTCTCCCAATCACTCGCCGTCCCAGTCCCCCAACCAGAGCCCCAGGATCAAAAGGCGGCTGGAGTCCTCCCTGAGCCGGGGACCCAGAACTGCCTTGGCCTCCGCGGACCCCGAGGCCAAGAAGCACCGGGCCGATGGCGGCCTCGCGGGTGGCCTCAGCCGCTCTGCGGACTGGACCGAGGACCTGGACGCCGGTGCGCCCAGGGCGGGGGGCTCTGCACACCTGCTGGACCGCCAGGCTGCTGAGGACGGTGCGATGCCTCCGGCGCTGACAGCCAAGGCGGCCGGGGCGCAGGCGGCCGCCGATGGCTTCCAGAACGTGTTCACAGGTGAGCTCGCCCTGCGGTCCAGCCTTCAGGTGGCCTGCCAATCAGAGCCTTCCCCTGCCTCCCGCCCTCCCCGGCGCTGTAAACCCACGACCTGCTTCTGACATGTCCCTTTTTCACAAAGCTCGTTCACTTAGTGAAACCTCTATTTCCTTACAACGTTATAAACGGATCAGCTCAGTCGTGTTTGTCCTAAGTCATCTCAAGAAAGGGCCACGTTGTCCGTTTTCCCACCATGTCTGCTGTCCTCCAGGGTCAACTAGGCAGATAAACTCCTCTTTTGCGTCGTTAGCAGAGCCGTCATTCTCTTTCCTTCCTCATCCCCACCCACAGCATTAAAAAGAACAAAATTGTTCATGGTCCTTTGAAAAGGGTCAGTGTGGAGAAACAAATCCTGTATTCGAGTACTATCCAAAGGTGATCTGACTGCTCATATAGATGCGTTATCTGTCTGTAATAGTTGGTATCCTGCAGCAATGTGGGTAGACTACTTAGTCAAGTTAAGTGGTCACTCCTGTCTGCTAATGCGTGAAATCTAATATGCGCGAAAATTAATACTGAAGCAGAATCTTAGGGATAATTTTGATTTTCCCTTAACATTCTGGTTTCACCGTCCAGATAAAAGGAGCTAGTGAAGGGGAGAAGGCCACAAGCACACTTATCCAACTGGTACTTTTTCTCCTTAGTGTGTTATAGATGCTGATAGGCACCATGCAGCCCAGTTAAAGGGTCAGTTTACAGGGGTAAGTGTCAAGTGGTATTTATGAGTTTATCCTTTCTTGCAGGCGTATAAGTTCCAAGGCCTTACCTTAAAAGCCCACTGACAGTGTCAGTTTGTTTCACGCTTTCTAACTTCTACTCTTACTATGTGAAATATTGAGTATAAGAATTTAAGGAGTAGGGAAAAAATGAAAATTTATGCAAGTATTGGTAGGTTTGTGATAAATATTTGAATGATTAAGAATTTCAGATGTAATTGGAAAAGCTTAAAATTGTATGTTCTATTACTTTAATACACAGGTTATAAAGTATTACTTAGATGACATTTCTCAATGAGCATAGCTACTTCTTCCTTGGCTACATGGTGTTAATGTTGAGGTATTACTTTTATTGATTGACCACGTTTTTATTTTCACGTATGGGCTATCTTTTAGTTTACACCTATTGATTCTGATACTTAAGAGTAGTATTTTACATGCTTGCTTTCTCTTTTTTGAAATTATTTTTCTCCCTTCCCTTTATTGCATGAGTTAAGTTAAAAGAATGTTTGTAGTCTGATACCCATTACGTAAATTGTAAACAAACAAACAATTTTCCCCTGCCCAAGGGGCCATTTGTGAAGGGAAAGGATTGGAAAGTTCTTGAGTTGATTTTTGTGAATTTAATGTTGGTGAGAAATCATGTATTTCCCCTTTATTAAGGTAACATGCAATTTTCTAAAAGTGAAGATGTCACCATAATTAAGACTCATTCATTAAATTAATTGTGCTCTTTCTGGCAGCATTAGACTTTGGAAATATTTCATTTAATTTATTTAACAAATGCATATATATGTGTACACACACACACACACACACACACACACACACACACACGCCATATTGCTAGCTGGTAGGAGATACACAGATCACTGTATCATGGTTCTCATTTACTAAGTGCCCAGGAGCACATAGGGATATGCAGCCCAGTGCCCTGGGAACACCAAGGATGCTGTGACTTATCTCCTCAGCAGGGGGTAAAGGAAGAGGACTTCACAGAAGGATTTGTAAGACTTCTGGAGATCATAGGATACTAAATAGTTGAAGTTTTGTTTTCCTTAAGAAAAAAAAAAAAGGTATACTCTTGAAATTTGTATTTTAATTTGCTAAGTATTACCAAATTTGCAATTTGGGGCTCTTCAAGGAATCCTGTTTAGGAAGTACCTGGGTTTTGTTGACCTCTCCAGGCAGAGATTTTACTGTGCAGAGTTAGGTATTTTAGTATGGACATCACCCACTTTGTATTTGATGAGTGGAATAGTTAGTCAGTGACCAATAGATATATGATAACAGTTTCCATATATTTATCTCACCCACTCAAAACAAACACACACACACACACACACACACACACACACACACGGATTGGTATGTTTACCCCAGTCTTGTAACTGGTAGGTGGATAGAGCTGGATGAAGAGATGAAATAACTTTCTCAAGGTCACACTGATTCATTCAGAGGCCAGAGCCAGAAATAGGAGCTGTGTCTACTGATTCAGGTCTGAATGTCCTTGCTTGTTACTCATTTTTGGACATCCAACACTGTAGGACAACATAAAGAACAAAAACTTTAAAAAAGTATTACAGAATTTAAGGCCTTCACTTTTGAGATTGTCTAGTTTCTGTTTTTCACAAGGTGAATTCTTTTAATTGTTAAACATGTGTCCTTACTTGGGCTGGGTAAGAAGTGACTGTTGGTCAGAGTGAACCTCGTTTTCTCATGGCTGCTCTCATGGACACTGTTCTTACAGTGGTGGAGTGAATCCGGATGCACACAGGCCCCTTCTTCTCATCTCAGCTGTTGTGTGTTTCCTTGTCATCTGGCATCTCATTTGGTTTCTTGCCAGCCTTTAGGATTTTATGGGTGTCTTAAAATTACTAGAGGCCTCCGGAGCACCAGCATTGTCCTTACGGAAATTGTTTTTTTGACCTTAATTTTGCCTGTCATACGATCAATTAATTGCCAGCTGCCTTTGAAGCAGGTGATCATTAGATTTGTAAGTTTCCGTAAACATCCTTTATTTTTAAACCATAGAATGAGGATTGTCAGCTCTGCAGGAAGGAACAGATGTTTTTTGCTTTTCACTGACTTTCAAATGTAGGGAGAAAATTCAAGGCAAAAGAGACCTCTGTGGCACATGTTTGTGTGTGTTTGGCAGAACTCAACACACCTAGCAATGATGGATACCAAAACTTATTTTAGCTGTTAAGGAACTGATGACGCTTTGGGTCATGGCACTGAAATATTTCACAGGTAATTTGTTTGAAATACATCTTTTTCAGTGTTTAGGAGAAAAAAATTACTTCTGAAGTTTGAGAGGTTCCTTTGCACCTTGGGTATAGCAGAAGCTTGTTAAAGGAATTTTGCAGTTAGTTAAGGTTTTGATGTGTATAATTTTAAAATTTGTAATGCTAAGTCACTTTTGAGGGGAACCTTTCCAAAGTCCATTATGTGCTTATCTGTCTTTTTTTTTTAATGTGTGTTTTATTTACTTTTTTAAAAAAACAATTTCTTTTTTTTTAATTTTTTTTTTTTTTAAGATTTTTATTGGGGAATTGGGGAGATGGGAGCAGCGGTGGGGAATTGGGGGAAGGGGAACAGACAAGTTGCTGTCGTTCCGCTCTTCAGTCTAGCTGTGGAGGACCTTGCCCCACTGGCTTAAATTTTTTATTGGGTAACAGTGTGTTTTTCCAGGACCCATCAGCTCCAAGCTGAGTAGTTCCCACCTAGTTGTGGAGGAGCGCAGCGCAGCGGCCCATGTGCAGATCGAACCGGCAATCTTGGTATTGTGAGCACTGCTCTCTGAGCTAACAGTCCACCCCTTATCTGTCACTTTTTAAATCATGGAATAATTCTTATAAATCATGATCTCTTTTAAATGGTTTTGTCATCTTCAGGCTCCTCATTTTTACATCCTGTGAAAACATTGGTGATGGCCTCGACAGCTATTGATGTGTGCATGGAGGCTGGTGGCTCCACTGGGCTGCGTCAGAGTTTTTGTATCTGTTTTTGTAGTTTTCTTGAAACTTTCTTACTGTCAGCTATTTATTCTTAGGGCTACTTTAGTCTCTTCTCCCCCTGCTCCATTACTTCTAATGTGATTTTTCTGATTAATTTTTCATTGTTTTCCAAATCCAGTAATTATGATATTAGCTATATTCATTGCACTTCTAAATGCCAGGGCCTGTGCTGGTGCATTATATAATTATCTCCCATCCTTAACAATAGTCTTGAAGTATAGCTGTTTATCCTCATTTTTCCAGTGAGCAAACTGAGGGTCAGGCAAGTGACGTAATTTGCCGAAGGGCATTAAGCTAGTAAACGGCCCATCTAGGATGTGTACTTAGAAAACCAAATCTGTTGTAAGTGTGTATAAAAAAAACCCAGCGCGTCAGTGAGCTTTTAATAAAGGGCTTTAGAATTTGTATTATGTGATTCTTATTTTTGGCTTTTCTAAAGGTTATCTTGATTTTTGTACTAACAGGATTTTCTCATATAACTTGTTATTAGATGGTAAATTTTTTAAGGCCGCGAGCAGCCTTATTTCCAGGAGTAGCATCTGACAGTGTAGATGTCCTCCTAATGTCCATAAATGAATGAAGGTCAGAAGTCATTCCTGATATATATAATGCATCCGTCTTACTGTAACAGGAAAGGGGATGATAAGAATGGTGTCCTTTCCCCTACACCTTGCCTTAGTGAATTCCCTATATCGGAATAGAATTTAGCAACGTAAGCTGGGACAGGGAGCACTGTTCTTAAATCATTTTGGTTTAGTTTGAAACATCCTTTCATGGTTTCTTTAGACTGATTTGGATTGAAGTCCAGTACCCCAGTAGCTTCAGTGGTGAGTTTTAATTACTGCTTTATGAGCTGAGGACTGGCCTAGTTTTAAGTGCATTTAGGCGTTTGGATATAAGCCATGTGTATTTGAAATTGAAGAGCGGCTTTTAGAGCTTGTGTTTCCTTCTTATTCTATTAAAAAGATGCTGGGTGATGGTAGCAGTAGTTATTCTAACTATGATTATTCTAGGTAAATTTGTATCATAGGTGTGCTATTTAGTTGAGTGACTCAAGTAATTTTTTCTGACATATATGAAGGTGGAGAAGTAATTTCAAATTAATGTTAAGATTAAATAAAATCATGTATCTAAAGCCCCTACAACTCTGCCTGGTACATAGGTACTATCTGCTTTCCTGTCCTGGTTTATTGCTTTAATCAACGTCATTGTTCCAAGTGATGGG